ATCTACATTTCAGAGTTGGTACAGAGGAAGATGAGGACTGGCAAAGGCAAGAGCAGGGGTTGGCAACTTAAGGCCCATCGGCCACAAGCGGCCCACAGGGGTCGTTTAACCGGCCCATGAGCCACCCCCCAACCGAGCCGCCTGCACAGACGCAGACGCCAGAAATTGCAGGCGTGGGTCTCATGCGGGTGCGTGATCCGGCCCATGGAGGGATCTCCGCTGGAGTGAACCAGCCCAGGCAAGGTAAACCTTGCCGACCCCTGGGAAAGAGAAACAAGGGATGGCTGTGGCTAACGTTAGGCTTTATTAAGATTGGCGTCAAGATTGTTTTAAAGGAGGGACATGCTGTTTTAAGGAATTTCATTTTCGCTCCACCGCCCCCACGTGCATGCGTGCGCACAAACACACACACACACACACACACCACAGGCACCGGCAGGAGTTGCTATGCATAAAACATACTCAAATACGTTAAATAAACTTTCAGTAGATGCCAACTGCCTGCATAAGACTAGAAAAAGAATACAATGAGTGTTTCAAAGGTTCACTGTTCAAAGGCAAAACATTTTGACCAATAATACCAGCAGGACAATCTATCAGTATATTTGAATATTTAAATATATGGCATTCATTTTCATATCCTGTTTTGAAATTATTTGTACAATTTCTCCCAATCAAGTTTAACCATGCCATAAAGCTTTTTGTAGATGGGGTGAGGCCATAAAACAGCAGTGAGGAACCTGTGAGCTGACCCTCTACATCTTGTTCAACTCCAGCTTTCATCATCACCAGCTAACACAACCAATGGTCAAGGAAGATGGGAGTTGTAGGCTTGAAACATCTGGGAGGACCACAGATTCCCCACCCTTTCCCATAAAGCATTCAGTACTGTATATTTGATTGCTATAATCTGCTCTATAACCATAGGGTAAAGAGCAGATTAGAAATAGGATAAGCAAACATTTAAATTAGTAGCATAGTATTTTCTTATGGATGGCAGCACTGACTGCAAAACATTTCACATAATGCACATTTCAGTTAAGTACTTTTATAATGTGATGCTCTGGGAGAGGAAGAGGATGCACATTTAATGTACAACTTAATAAAGTTCTGGAGATGCCTTGGCATCTCTGCTGAATGAAAATATTGCCATATGAAATTATTATTCAGTCATGCAGAAAAGCATATGCTACAGCCCTCTGACATGTCTGAACCACCTCTGGGGTTTGAGAGTTTGAAAACATCATCACCTTAAAGTCCTCACACACACCCCATACACTGTGAGCTAGGCATATCTGAGTGAGAGGCATCTCTCTCCAAAAAAGGGACTCTTCATACATTAGATTTTTAAACATCTTAAGTGTGCCCCTAAATACACTAAGCACGAATGCTACAGGTTGATGTTTGTGTACCATTACTATATATCATGCTGTTGTTGCACTTAGGAAAACAAGATTGTCTGGAGCGTCCTTCCAAATAACACTTTGTTGCAAATCCAAGTTTGCTGTGGTGCAATGTTGAAACAATACCAAACGTTAATTGTTTGGGGAGCAGAGAGCAAACAGCGAAAAGCAAACTTGAAACTCTGTCAAAACCCTTTGAGAATCGTTTCCCACCTTTTAACCACACAACTGAAGGAGTCTCGTGAGCCACCTCTCTAATCTCTTTCCCTTACCCACGTGCAACCATGCATAACCTGATACTGTATTCAGCTAGAGTTAAGACCTTGTATTCCAAGAAGTTATCAATGGCTGATATAACAGAGGAAGATAACTTCTTGAGAACAAGAGTATTAACACATTTGCCGAAAGTAAGGGGGGTTGGCTGCAATGCCCAAACAAGCCAATTTTATTATTTTTTAAGGAAAGGGAGGTGTCAAAGGGTACATGAATAACAGTCCAAGATTCTTAATTCACATTCTTGCCAGTGTGGTGTAGTGATTAGAGCATCAGACTAGGACCTGGGATCCGGAGACTAGAGTTTACATAGCCACTCAGCCATGGACCCCAATGGGTGACCTTGGGTGAGTTACTATCTTGCAGTCTAGCCTACCACACAGGGTTGTTGCTAGGATAAAATGGAGAAGGGGAGAGAAACAGGTATGCCACTTTGAGCTCCTTGGAATAAAAGTGAGATATAAATACAATAAAAATCGATTTCAGGCAAGTTTTCTTAGAGCAAATCCATAGCATGCAAAACAGCAGCAACCTCCAGTCTGTTATATGTGTGATACCCTACTTCCCAAGGTGCCTCTGCAATCATCTCCAGTTGCCCATTTCAAAATGAAAACTCCATCATGCACCACCTTTCATCTGGCTTTAAGAAGTGCTGGGCATGTCAAAGGCAGTGCTATATAAGCAACAGCACCGTTCTTTTCACGCTGTCCTGCGGTTTGCAGGCAACATGCTGCTGCTGCTGCCTCTACCAGCCATTCTGATATGACTCACAACCTGCTGGGCTTGTCTCTCACTAAAAGCCAGCTCTCCTCTTCACAGCAAGGCATTTTCTTGCACTTTGGATGGGGGTTCAAGCTGTGAATAAAAACACTTCTTAGGAGCTTACATACTTTGATTGGGAGGGGGTGTCCTATTTTGTTTTCCAAAATAAATAGGTTGCTTATTTTCCTAACAGGGGCCTTTTTTGTTTGTATTTCCTTATGTCATTTGGATTTTGCCATGGATTTGGTCCCCCACCCAGAACAAGTAGCACTGTGAACACACAAGACTTATTTGCCAGCTTCCTTTGAATCAAGAGTCTACTGTGTTTTGTTATTTTCAATGCACAGTTCTAAAATATACTGGCAAGTAGGAATATCACCCGAAAAGGATTGTATGGCTTACCCAAACACCCCTTCCTGTAATTACCTATGCTCTCTCTCAATTCCAAACAAAGTCCCCCAAAAATTCCCCAAGCTGCAAGATAGAGATGAGAACTAAACATCTCTAGAATGAAAGCCTGCAATCAACTTGTCAGTCAAAGGGAAAGTTACAGAATTACAGAATGTATTTTCTTTCCGTTTTAGAAAAGGGATTGTATCTTACAATAAGGCAGAAGAGCTGAACATTACAGATAGCTATGTATTCTGCCAAAACTACATCAGAATAATAATTATTCTTTATTTTTATTTTCCAGGCGTCCTGCAAAGCCAGTAAAAATCCAAGCAAGCTTTATATGCAGCAGGAGGGCATGTGAACTCCAGTGGACAGTGTGCTCCAGAACAACAGTGCAGTTGCAGTTCTGGGCATATTCTAATTTTGTTCAGCACCTCATGGAACCCACAATTAAACAGTTGCTTATGTTTCCCACCACCCAAAAAGGCAATTGTGCAAAGGAGGGATTTCAGTCCCTGGGGTGTCTTACAGCCTCACTCTCTCCTTCTCCATACAAAAGTAGGCAAACACACTCTGCATGCTGAGTGTTTCAGGAAGCATGGTGAAGATATGATGGCTGCATCCAATGTTAAGCCACATTCAAAGGAGGTCCACCAAAATGAATGAAAGTGACTAACCTATGCCCATTAATATCAGTGGGTTTACTCTGCGTAGCACTTAGTTGGGTACAGCCCGTAATTTGTGCAAAATGTGACCTGCACAATTATAGTCATGGCACAGCTATTTATCTTACAGGAAAATAGAACTCACTTGAAAGAATTTTTTTAAAAAAAGAAATCTAATTTTTTGCTTTAGTTAACCAATTCTGTGTTTGAGAGCTGAAAGGAGGTGGAAGAAAAATAAAGCTCCGAGTTTATTTATTTTTTAATAGCAGAACTCAGTTACTGTTCCTATGCATGAGAACTCCATGATTTCATGTTTAGGGTTTTCTCTCTCCGGCCTGGACTAGCTGGAAAGCCTGGGGCTGGATTTCAAGTCTTTGCAGTAACCACAGCTCACGAAGAGAGGGGGTGGGGTGAAATTTACACGGTGCAGGAAGGAATGAAAGAAGGGTTTTTTTTCTTTCAAAAATAATAACACCGCGTTGTTGTTGTTTTTAGACACCCACAAACCTTTGTGGATATAACTCTCTGTTGAACAACAACGCCGAACTACAACTCCGTGTAACAATTGCAACTGGAGAGATGTCAGCCTTAAGTGACGTCTAACAGCCTAGCTGTGCTTTGCAACCCTCGGCGTGCATAGGCGACGAATGCAACACAACAGCTCCCTAACACCTTCCTCCTCGGAAGAACTACACGATTGGAGGGGGTGGGCGGGGGTCTTTATAAGTGGGAATGGGGGGGAGAGAGGCTGAACTACAGCCACGACGACCACTTGCTGGTTCCAAACACACACACCCCAACACACAAAAACTGCAACAAAGAGTTCAGGCCCCAAAAGCCACGCGCGACTCTCTTTTGCAACTGTGTATCTCGCCACACCGGACTTAAAAAACAACAGGCAAGAACCACAAATCACAGCGAAGAAGCACAAAAGGGGGGAAAAGGAGCCATGATGTTCAGCCAGCCCCAAACTCGGAAGCTTCCCATTTCCAATCGCGCTCTCTCACACACACGCACACTCTCCTCCTTCTGGATCAGTAACAGGGACAAGAGCTCGGGGCGCTTGAAAGTTTACTGTCCCGGGGCGGGAAGGGGGAGGCGGCAGCGGACGACGACGGAAAGCGAGAGGAAGCGATCCCTGCTTCCCAAAACTCTCGTCCACGCTTCCTTGGGAGACTTTCTGAACCCCAGCTCCAGCTCAGCTGATAAAGCTCCCAACCCCGGGCTGGGGGTGTCCCGATCGGAGCCCCCCTCGCTCCTCTGGCTCCCTTCCCCACCAGCCTCCACTTTTTGCCTCTCTTTCCAGCTCCCTCCCCTCTCCAGGAAGCGCCATATTGATCCCAGGCGCCCTCTCTCTCTCGCTCTCCCCGCCTCCTCCAGCTGCTGCTGCTCCTTCGCCTCCAGCCCGTCTTTCCTGCTCACCTCGCCCAAGTTCTCTCCCCCTCCCCGCCGCCCAGCTCCCCCACCCCACCCTTCGGCCCCCACGTCGCGCCCACACACTCACCTTGGCGATCGCCTTCCTGTACCTGGTCACCGCTTGCTCGATCAGACTGAAAACTTTCATCTGGCCGTCCCCGCAGGGCACGACCACCCGGGTCCGGCCGAAGCACACGGTCACTTTCATCCTGCCGCCCAGCGCGGCTCCCGGCCCCGATCCTCGGCCCGCCGCTTCCCGGAGCCCGCTGCTGCTGCTGCTGCTACGCGCAGCCCGCGATCGGCGGCAGCGCGGAGGGAGACGAGCGCCGCTCGGCTGGCCCTTCGCGCTTCCCCGCTTCCGCGCCCGGCCAGCAGCGCCAAGCGGGAGCCCGGCCCGAGGGCGGGCGGCTGGCGGAGCCTGCAGCTACCAAGTCGGCGGAGTCCCGTGGCGGCGCGAAGGGGGAGGCCCGGGCGGGCGCCCGTTCACATGCTGCGGGGGGAGGAGGAGCGGGGCGCCGCCGCTGCCACTGCCGCCAGCGCTAAGCAGGCATGCTCGCTCCTCGCTCGCTCGCTCACTCGCTGCTCGCCCGCTCCCTTCCTGGCGCGCCAGCCGCTGCCTCTGGCCACCTGTTCGGCGTCTCCTCCTGCGCGCAGCTAGGCGGCGGCTTGCCTCACTCCTGCGACACGAGAAGGGCCGGGCTGTCTCCCCGCGAAGGCCGTGCAGGGCATTGCTCTTCGCCAGTCGCTCTCCAAGGCTCTCCCCCCACCCAGCCCCGTTAAGGGGTCAGATGCACGGCCAGGCGCACTAGGTTCTTTTCTCGGAGAGCTGGTTGTTTTCCACCTTCCCACCACTTTGAAAGTTTTGCTCTACTTCCTGACTGTTTGCTTTCCCGCTATCAAGTAACTTTCGTCTTGCAAACCGTCTCCTTGCCCGGGAGGCCGCAGTCCTAAATGGGGTGGATGCTGGGGCGCCAGGCCTCTCCGCCTTGGTGGAATTAAGTGAGCACGCAGCAGTTGTGGCTCCAGAGATTGGGTGATCCGCAACAGATGCGCAGACCCAGCTGGTTCGGGATTACTCGGTGGAAAAGGTGCTCAGCGTTAGGAGAGGAGTAAGGCTGCCGGCCCATGCTTACTTTCCACTGAGAGCAGCAGCAGGATTCTGTGCATGTTGACGCACAAGTAGACTGTGGTCGGGAAGTACCGTAAGTGGGTTTAGGATTGCAGACTTAGTCTCCTCAAAGCATCCCTTCAGACTGGTTTTTTGTAAGTGTATTTTGCAACATACGAGTTTATACAGTAGTAGTACATTAGTGGTGGATTTTTGGCAAACCATCCATGCTTCATTCCACTTTATTCGTTGTTCTGTGATACTTCCTCTGCATCATCACATTATTGCCATCTAGAGGGGCACTCTTATGCTATAGCACCACAAAAGTGGAGCATTTGTGGGATAAAAAATGTGCAGGTTCTCAGCAGAAAGTTATGGCGTGTGCACTGGTGCACAGCAGCATGTCCACCCTGAAACTTTTGCAGTTGCAAACAGCATTGAAAGCATAAACCTGTAGCTACCAGAAGATAAAGTGAGATAAAGCACTCCAACGGACGTTTTGATACAATTTTGACTCTCTTTATAGCTAAACAAGGATGGAAATGTACTACAAGTTGGACTAGATGATCCTCAGGGTCCCTTCCAACTCTATGAGTCTATAATGTCTTGCCACTATGGAGGGGATATGTTCACCAGAAGGAAACCTGAAGCCCCCTGAGGGGCAGAACTTAGTAAATGCAGAAGTAGAGCACTGTCTACTTATACTTTTCCCCATTTTCTTACTGTACATTATTGCTGTACTCTGCTTCCAGTGTTGTTTTTCTTGCTATATGTCAAAAATTTCCATAAATAAAATAATTAATCGAAAGCAGGATTACATATAACTTCCCTGATACTGTCATGAGCACCAATCATCATGAATGCACAATAACGAAGATGTCTGGAAGGTCCAAAGTCAGTAGTGATTTCTGAGTAAGCATGCGTGAGACTAAATCACAGGGAGTCATAATTTTGATGCCAACATGACTATTTGTTAGACAGCCTTACTGCTATTAACAGGTAGATCAGTCAGTTTGCCCTAGGGTTGTTGTTGTTGGGGTTTTTTTAAGTGTTTTCTTTCATTTGCTAGTTTGCTTTTTCATTTGGTTAGGTTTCTCTCTCCCTGTTTCAAATTCTCAGCTGAGGAAATGCTCTAAGCAATGTTAACTATGACAACTAGAAACAAAAAGGTTTTGCATGAGATGCAAGATCGAACTAGAGTCCCATTGCAAACTTTGCCTCCTTTGCAAGTCAAGACACAGAGGGGACCCTTGAAGGCACAAGCACCAGAGCATTAAAAACCAGTTTATACAATCAGCAAAATCAAATGATAAAGAGGAAAGCTGATCCAGTCAGCTGATGAATGTGCATAGGATTGCAGCAGCCTTACGGGCCCAGACCTGCATGGTGTTAGCAACAGAAAAGAGTTGTTCTGGTTTGGTGGCTGGACCATTATGCATTCCAGATGACATTTGTAACAATTTGTTCAAACACTTAACATTTGATGTGTGTTTTCTTTGAGAAAATGCTGTCTTTTTGCTAGATAGGCAGCTAAAACTATACTGTAGCAATTGAACATACTACATATTTTCTTGTGATATATTTGTTTCTGAAATTAATTGGTTACTGTCCTATTGGAATAAAGTGGTGAGTTTGAGGAATATGGCATGCAGCTTCAAATTCCTACTAAGCCATGGAGTTCAGTGCCCTTTAACCTTAGATTTTTTATTTTAAAAAATCTGCTTTCCAGCAGTAAAATGGATATGTTTTATGACCTGCCCCAGAGTCTATATTTGAAAGCATGATTAAATACATTTATGTTTACTCAGAAGTAAGTCACACTGTGTTCAATGTGGCTTATTCCTCAGTAAAGCTGTCATCCTATATACAGCTACTTGGGAGTAAGTCCCATTAAACTTGATGGAGCTTCTAAGTATACATTTATGTTGTTGTTGTTTAGTCGTTTAGTCATGTCCGACTCTTCATGACCCATGAACCAGAACACGCCAGGCACTCCTGTCTTCCACTGCCTCCTGCGGTTTGGTCAAGCTCAAGCTGGTAGCTTCGAGAACACTGTCCAACCATCTCGTCCTCTGTCATCCCCTTCTCCTTGTGCCCTCCATCTTTCCCTAACATCAGGGTCTTTTCCAGGGAGTCTTCTCTTCTCATGAGGTGGCCAAAGTATTGAAGCCCTAGCTTCAGGATCTGTCCTTCCAGTGAGCACTTGGCTGATTTCCTTCAGAATGGATAGGTTTGATCTTCCTGCAGTTCATGGGACTCTCAACAGTCTCCCCCAGCACCATAATTCCAAAGCATCCATTCTTCGGTGATCAGCCTTCTTTATGGTTCAGCTCTCACTTCCATACATCACTACTGGGAAAATCATAGCGTTAACTATACGGACCTTTGTTGGCAAGGTGATGTCTCTGCTTTTTATGATGCTGTCTAGGTTTGTCATCGCTTTTCTCCCAGAAGCAGGCGTCTTTTAATTTCGTGACTGCTGTCACCATCTGCAGTGATCATGGAGCCCAAGAAAGTAAAATCTCTCACTGCTTCCATTTCTTCCCCTTCTATTTGCCAGGAGGTGATGGGCCCAGTGGCCATGATCTTCCTTTTTTTGATGTTGAGCTTCAGATCATATTTTGCGCTCTCCTCTTTCACCCCCATTAAAAGGTTCTTTAATTCCTAACTTTTATATGCCTGTTGTCTTTGTCCATGGAGTTTTCTTGGCAGGGATACTGGAGTAGCTTGCCGGTTCCTGCTCCAGGTGGATCACGTTTGGTGAAAACTCTCCACTATGACCTGTCTATCTTGGGTGGCCCTGCATGGCATAGCTCATAACTTCTCTGAGTTATTCAAGCCCTTCGCCACGGCAAGGCAGTGATCCATGTATAAATACATTTATAGAATTGTATTAAACGAAGTTGCCTTGCACTGCATCAGACCAGTGGTACAATTGTACTGTTATAAAAGATAAACAAAAAAAGAACGACAACATATACATAGCCATTTTCCCCTTGTTACACTGAATATGAATGCTTTTAACATGTTTTCATTCTATTTATATTATCGGAGGGGTCACCTTGAGGGTGAGGGTCCTCTGAAGAAAGATAAGCAACCAAATAGATAATTAATAAAATGTTTATTAGCAAATGTGAACTTGAAATTTGTATGTGAAATACCTTCAAGGAGCTGAGGAATTAAGATTCTAGGGAGGAATTACTCTGAGTTGAGAAAACAGTTCAGATCAGAATTGGTTAAAGAAGAGTTAGTCCCATTGATTTCATTGGAAGTTGTCGAGTTAAGTGCAAGCCTGCTATTTTTAGCAGATCATGCTGTAAGTCATCTTGAAAGCTTATGATACTTGTCAAAGTCATGTTGACACTTCTGAGAACAGTATTCCTCATTCCTTCAATAGAGTATGTCCAGTTTTGGCTATGCATTTTGAAGTTCAAAAGTGAGTAGGTAAGAAAGGAGGGGGTGGAAGTGACTAGTGCTCCTTTTAGTCTAAAGCTATGCCAATATACTATTTTAAAAGGATGGGGAAACAGTTCTACTTTTTGATTCAGGATCTTGTTATTTTTTCTTCCATCCCTGGCATCTCCAGGTAAGGCTGGAAGATTCCTGCATCTGAAAATCTGGAGAGCTGATGCCAGTCAATGTCAACAACACTAAGGTAGCTAGACCTTGGTATATGACAGCTTCCTATGTAAATGGGTACAAAATATAATCTTCTGAGCTTTTGGAATGTAGTTCATAGTTGGGACAGCATTTCAGGGTTTTGTAATGTGTAGCTAAACAATGTCCAGATTAATTGAACTGCTATACCCCAATCCTGCAAAGAATGTTTACTTTGACATTGTCAGCGCCAGCAAGTCAGGGACAGACAGCTGCAAGCATCCTACACAGAAATACATGAGTTCCATGTAGCTTACTCCCAAATGAGCATGGCTAAGGCTGTAGCCATAAGATTCATTATCTTTCCTTTACTTTTAAGCCATTGCTTGTAATACATCCTTCAACCTTGAACTTATTACTCTTGAAAAACATCATTGACTTCAGGGAAACAGTTGTACTTGAGATTCAGAATCACCAGGTATATGGTGGTTGACACAGCATAAATTAAAAATATAGGTCCCTGCCCCAATAAGTTTACAATATATCCCCACGCCTTTATCTTTTATCTTGCCCTTTCCCAAAGGATCTCAGGACAACATAGAGCATCCATCTCTAGAACAACCATCTAGTGCCCTCAAGTTGTTTTGAACCACAACTGCAATGACTGGTGCTGATGAGAGTTGCAAACCAAAACATCTGTAGGGTACAAGGCTGGGGAAGGCTAGCACAAAATGCCGCCCCCCTTTTTAAATCCTCACAACAATGCTGTGAAGACCATTAAGCATAGAAAAACTGACTGGCCCAAGATCACCCCTGCCATGGCTGCAGGGGTCAATGGGAAACATAAGAAGGCGGCTCATCTAGTCAAGCATCCTGTTTTGCTCTCAAGGAGAACCTGAGCACAGTGGCACTTTCCTGACCCATGATTCCCAGAAACTGGTACAGTGGTACCTCAGGTTGCATACGCTTCAGGTTACATACGCTTCAGGTTACACACTCCGCTAACCCAGAAATAGTGCTTCAGGATGAGAACAGAAATCGTGCTCCGGCAGCGCAGTGGCAGCAGGAGGCCCCATTAGCTAAAATGGTGCTTCAGGTTAAGAACAGTTTCAGGTTAAGAACAGACCTCTGGAACAAATTAAGTACTTAACCCAAGGTACCACTGTATTCAGAGACATA